TACTGTATCCTATGGGCTAAAATACTATAGGTTAAGTCAACACAGGATGCATGGGAAGAACTCAAGAATAAAGTTCTTAAGACTCAAAGAGCAATAATTCTGAAGACAAAAAGGAGAGCTACCTAAGCAAACTAACTCAATGGCATAGTTGATTCACTAGCCAGATTAGATGTTTAAAAGACATGTATAGCGATGGAAACAAGGTCAAGCAATAGAGGATGAAGACATAAATGTGGCATGGTCCTGTAAGAATGGTGTCAGGAGAGATAGAGCTCAAAAGAGCTAAAGAAAATTAAGGATGAAAAAACTTTTAAAAATCTATACTGGAGAAAAGAGGAGGATCAAAAAAAGTGCATAGACTATCACTCAGAAGGAATGGAATGGCTATGACTTATGATGGAAGTAAGTTGCAACTGTGCAACTCTTATTCTGCTTATTATCTCTGTCAAAGAGCAAGATCTCTGGGCTGGAAAAGTTAGTGTCAAAATGACTGGGGAAGTTGGCATTCCAGATCAGTAAGGAGATGTCCAGAAAGCACTCCACTGCCCTTGATGAATTGAAGGAATCTGGCCCAGATGAACTACATCCTTGGACACTGGCACAAGTGATCGCTGAGTCACTGTGAGCATTCTGTGAAAAACTACGGAGTGCAAGAGAGCTACTACAGCATGGGGAAAAGGACAAATGTTCTGATTTTCCAAAAAAGGGAAAAGAATGGAATTTGTGAACTGTAAGCTGATGAGCTTGACCTTAATACCTAGCCAAATTTTAGACTACTGTTCAAAAAAAAAATGATTGGTGAACATCTAGCAAAGGAAGCAGTAATCACAAAAACCAGCAAGGCTTCATAAGTAGCAGGTCATTCCAGACCACATTAATTTTTTTTTATTGGATAGGTTACAAAAATGGCAGATTGGGGGACTAATATAAGTATAGTTTACTTACATTTTGCTTTCATTCTGTTCTGGGGAGGGTGGGAATGGAGACCTATGGATTAGCAGACCATAGTTAGATGCATTTGGAACAGGTTGAATAACCAGACTCAAAAAGTAGTTATTGATGGTTCATTGTCTACTTGGAGAGAGATCTGTAGTGGAGTATTCCATGCAAGAATCTATACTTGGTTCTGTTCTATTTAATACTTCAAAAAACTAATAGTATTATAGCCCTTTATACTTGTCAGGAGGTGAATACTAAGCTATTTACTGTACCTGTATAGCTAAAGTCTGGAGACTGATTTGGGAGAGTTTTGGGATGTCATAAATGCCACTCACTGTTTTAATGACAACTTGGTATTATTTTCGTTTTTTTGTTCTTGCCATTTGTTAACCTCACATTTCTTGATTCATGAAGCCTTATGTGAGCTATAGCTCTAAAGATGACGATCATTTGTATGTCGACTAAAATGACTGAAGGGAAAAGGGACAAATGTTGGAGGGGATGTGGAAAAAATTGGGTTGCCAATTCACAGTTGGTGGAACCATGAACTGATCCAACCATTCTGGAGAACAATCTGGAATTATGCCCAAAGAGTTATTAAACTGCCTGTATCCTTTGACCCAGAAATACCACTAATAAATCTATTTCCCAAGATGATTAGAGAAAAAGGAAAAGAAACTACATGTTCTAAAATATTTACAGCAGTTCTTTTTGTGGCAACAAAGAACTGGAAATTGCAGGGATGTCCTTCAATTGGGGAATGGCTGAACAATACTCTTGAATTCAGGGATAACTTACCAATAAGAACATTTCCCGAACTTTAGCCAAAGCCCTAAGAGCAGATCCAACACAGCTCCAAAGACAGATAAAAGGTAAGCCAGACCCTCTGCATCACCCCCTTCCTCAGTTTTCTTCTTCTTTTGCCCCTCAAATAATTATAATGCTCAAAAATACCAAAGCATAAATTTATGAGTACAGAAAAAGGCTTCCCTTTAGTCATGACACTAAAAACCATGGGAAATGAAAAAATTAATGGGATGTTACCAGCCCCTATCAGAGATAGGATCCCTTTCTGTGTATGAGGTGAAAGCTGAAAAATCATTTTTGTGCTGCTGTCTCCCCAAAACTAGGTTGAGAACCTCAGGTACAATGTAGCACCAATAGTTGGGATGAGAACTGATCTGCAGACCTGAAGCGAGATACAGACTGCTAAGAAGCTCCTGAAAGAACCATAGTGCCTACTATTTCTGGCTCCTGGGGCCTCAGCTGACTGCAAAAATATCCTTCAATAAATCTCACTAAGATGCACAAATATTCTGTTCAAGTGGTCTTTCTTTTCCTTATTTTGACTTCTTTAAAAAAAAATCACCCATTTAGAGAGTGTTTGCTGTTAAATGGTAGGAAAATGGACCAGCAAGTTTGACTACATCTTTGGAACACCTAAACCTCTGTGAACCCTTAAACTAAGTCAATGACTTGAGAAAAAGCAAAGACAATGAAGTTTCAACTAAGGACACAAAGTTGGGGAGGGATAGCTAACACCCTTGATGACTGTAGGGATTCAAAATGGTCTTGATAGGGTAGAACACTGGATCAAATCTAATAAGATGAAATTTAGTGTGAATAAATTTGAAGATACACTTTGTTTCAATAAAATAACTTTATAAATACAAGATGACAGGACATTATTAGGAGTCTGAAGAAGTAGAGGTTTTAATGGACTGAATGTTTAATATGAATCAGTAGTGATGCAATATTAACCTGCGTTGAGAGGCACAATGTCCAGGACTAGACTTTGCACTTGTTAGACTACCTCTGATATATTGTTTTAAATTTTGGATACCACATATCCAAGAGATAACCATTAACATAGTGGAGGGCCTCAAATTTCTTATAAATATCTTACAATCACAGGATTTATGATAAACTCACATATATGCATTCTTTTAAGATTTTAAAAATGTTATCTTTCTAACACGGAGTGAATCAAGGTAGACAATACAGATGTTATCTGCATTTTACAGCTTAGAAGACTGAGGTGCAGATAGTTAAAGTGACTTATCCAACTTATCAGCATCAGAGCTGATGTGCAAACCCAGGTCTTTTGAGTTCGAAGCCAGTGTTCATTCTACAATACCATTCAGGAGCGAGACTATGACCTTCTAGAAGGCTAGGGCATTCGTAGGCTATGATGATAGTTCCCTGGTAGATAATCTCTCTTACCCTCAACCCTCATCACTCCTAATACAGGACAACCACTTACTTACAAAAAGATCAAACCTGCTCTGAGACCATAGAAACTACAGATCAGGGGCTTCCAGGGGACATTCACGGGATGGAAATTAATCTGGTGAACCCCCATAGCTAAGATAGAGAGGAGGCTCTGGACTCAAAGGCTGGGCCCCCAATCTCAACCACATTATGTATATATAATTTATTTGTGTATACACATGTATGTACATGCATATAAACACACATACATGTATATGCACATGTATATAAACACGTACACATGTATAAATGTATATGCATGTGTATATATGTATACACACATACATACATGCATGTATGTGTGTGTGTGTGTACATATATATAATCTATTTACGATATACAAGACATAAAATCTTCCTGCCCAATGAAAGCATTGATTGATGTCAGGGAGATCCTTCTGCTCACGTCCCCTAGTTTAAGAATGTGGAATATTGGAGCTGGAAGGCAACTTAGAAATTTTCTAGTTCAATTGGCTCAGTTTACAGGCCCAGGGAAAGGAAACAATTTGCCCGAGGTCACGCTGCTACTAAGTTAAGGAACCAGGACTGGAATTCAAGTCTCCTGACTACAAGCCTAGTGCCATTTCTACTGCACCACAATATTCTCTTCTTCAATGTTATGCCAGTCTAAACAATGTTTTCCCTTTAGGCCTTTGATGCTAATTAAACAGTGAATGGGAAACTCTAGACCATTGACCAGTACGTGAACTTGCACTGACTACTGGGATGGTGCTAAGAGAAATAGCCTAGGCAGGTATTTCCCTGCAAATAACTGCTCTGAATTGACAATTTAGGGGGGAAAGGAAGCCATACGAACCCAGATGGGACAAGGTTGAGTCGGGTTTCATAGCCCTGGAATTTGTTTACAAATCTGAGGGAGTTCCAGCTTTGATTTCTGACTTTGTCAGTCTTCATAAGAGGACAGAGGAAATTCTAGTGCTTCTTGTTATTAAGGGTGAAAGGAAGCCATTCGATCTTCCTGTGCACAAAGCACCAGCCCCAGGAAGTTGTTAAAGGCTACCTTGTCTACCACTTACCCAAATTACTGACTTAACTCTTATCAGAGCCTTTCTCCCCTTTTTAGGGAATAGAATCATAGAGAGAATGAAATGCCAGAATTTAGAATCCAAAGATAAATATGTGATATTACCCACTCCACTCTCAAATTCTCTGGACCTTAGTTTCCTGATGTATAAAATGGGGATAAGAAAACAAATTATTTTTGTTAAAGGTTTCTTATGAGGAAAATACTTTAAACTAAATATGAGCTGCTAAGCCTCTGGGTGGTATAGTGGATAGGGCACTGAGCCTGGAAACAGAAAGACTTGAATTCAAATTTGACCTTAGACCTTTACTAATTATATGACCTTGGGAAGGTCACTTAACCACTATTTTGCCTCAGTTTGCTCAAACTGTACAATGGGGATAATAATAGTACCAACCTCCCAGGGTTGTTGTGAGATTAAAATGAAACATTAATTGTAAAGCACTTAGCACAATGCCTGGAACATTGTAGGCACTTAATAAAGCCTAGCTCCTCTGTCGTTAAGCAGGCAGCCCATGTGTCATTCTAGGAGAGCCTAGCTCTCAATTGACATTAATTCCTAAAATATTCAATGATCCTACCACTCCTTTCCGAGGAATTCAGATTTTTAGAGGGGCCTCTTGCAGCTTCCTCCGATGCCTCATCATGGCGTGAAAGTGAATTTGAGCTTGTGAAGGTGGCCAAGCTTTGGCAGGTCCTGCTAAGGTGGAACAGCTTCACCAGGCCTACTGACAGATTGTGCTTACCCTTCTGTGGACTAGCTTAGATAAACGTAGAAAGCCTTGTCAGCCGGACTGAACCCGCCTCCAACCTGTGGATGCCCAGACAGGAAAGTCAGGAATCAAATAGAAGCTTAATTTCAAGGTGAGGGAAACAGCTCGCAAGCAAGAAGGGATCGAGATACACGTGCTGGGCCCCCTTCCCTAATGGGAGGATCCGCTTTAGTGTGGTCGAACCTTGATTTATATATTTGTGACTAGACAAAGAATCGAACAGTGTAGTGCAGCAACAGTGGTGAGACACAACAGTAACGGTGAGGCAAGGCTGTCCAGCGATGAAAAGTCCATTCATAGCAGGCCTTTGTGTCTGGGCCTGTTGGTGCTTGTCCGAACTCAGAGACCTTTACTTCCAGACAGTGAGTGCAAGGGTTATTGCGGTGCCAAACTCAGGGCACACTTGCTTGCTAGACCTTAGATCTGGAAAACAGGGTGTCTCCTAATGATATGTCGACAGGCCCAACCCCAGAGTGCTAGCCATGGAGGGATGAATGTTGATTGGTTACTGGAGTTCAGGAAACCCTGCTTAGAAGGCTTGTAATTTGCTTTAGTGAAGGCCACACCTCCTGGAAGGTGAAGATCCTGGATCCTCGAAGTATTGACGTAAATATACCTACCAAAGATGAGAAAAAAACCTTCAAGAGCCAAAGGAATGAATCCTAAATGGTGGAATGTCAGACATGTGTGCTATACAGTGGGAGAAGTATCATATTTGTGTGTTGTGGGGAAGAATACTATGTGTGCCTACATAGGCACTTAGGACATTTTGTTGAAATGACAAATTTAAGAAAAAAACCCAACATGGTGTCATTTCCAGTGTCCTCAAAAGAATAACTTTGATCTTAAAGAAGACCAGGATAACCTGCCCAAATCAGGGAAAATGCTAATCAGGGGCCTACTTTGTGCTTACTGTCCCTATCCCTGGACACTGGGACTTGAAAAATGCGTGTATATACACATATAGAGGTATAGAGGGGTATGAGAGAGAGAAAGAGACAGAGAGAGGAAAGAGGGAAATACAAAGAGAAAGAGAGGAGAGAGAGAGGAGAGAGGGAAAGAGAGAAAGAAGAGAGGAAAATGGGAAAGAGCAAAAAAAGGAGAGGGGGGAGAGAGATGGAGAGACAGAGAGAGAGGAGAGGAAAGAAAGAAGGACAGAGAGAAAAAGAGGAGAGAGGGAGAGAGAGAGAGAAAGAGAGACAGAGAGAGAGAGAGGCATGGGGCTCAGGGCTAGCTAGGGGCAGTGATATTTTTTGCTCTTCTCATGGTAACTTCAATCCCACTCCCTCAGCTTGGGGAGGAGGGGGGGGGAGACACAAACTGCTGTAGAGACCTTTTCCTTTCCTTTCAACCTTCTATTCTTTCTCCCTTTCTCCTCCTCTCTTTCATAGCAGATAAAACAAATCTCATACCTGGACAAGTATAGTAGTATAATCAGATTAAAAGGGGCATCAAGGGAAACTTTACAGGTGCTCATGGGACTTAGAACTGGAAGGTCCCACAAAGCCCATCTAGTCCAACATTATCTGGATGAGCAAACATCCAGAGCAGCAGCATGGCTTGTCCAGAGTCACCAGGAAGTCTACAGCAGAACCATGATTCAAACCCAGATTTTCTGGCTTCAAATTCTGTATGGTCAAAGGGATCGACTAGCAAGCAAGTTAGGCCTGGGAACAAGTCTGATAATGGACCTGGTGGCTTGAGGGTTGCTATGAAAGCTGTTTTTTGCTCCCTCCCCCACCCTTGTGTGGTAGGGATTGTAGCAACATTCTAAAGCTTGATTACTACTTATTTGGGAACTCAGGCAGCCTGGAGAAGAAAGGAGAAAATAAGGAGAAAAAGGTGATAAAGAACAATGATATTTCCAGCTGATAATAATAGCATTCATGCTGTAAGGGCATAAGAAGGTGATAAACATTTATATGGTGCCTACTATGTGCCAGGCATTGTGCTAAGTGCTTATTTGATCCTCACAACAACCTTGGAGGTTTTAAAACCCCATTTTACAAATGAGGAAACTGAGACAGAGGTTAAGTGACTTGCCCAGAGTCATACTGCTAAGGAAGAGTGTGAGGCAAGATTTGAATTCAGATCTTCCTGACTCCAGGCCCAGCACTCTATCCACTGTGCCACCTAGCTCCTTTTAAGGTTTGTAAAGTGTTTTGCACATGTTTGCATATCTTATTTGAGCTGTACAAACATTCTTTGAGGTTGAGGTCATTATCTTCATTTTACAGAAGAAAGGAAGGCTGAGAGAATTTAAGAGACTGTCCCAGGGTCACCAGGGGCAGTAAGTGTCTGAGGCAGGTCTTCTAATCCCCCTAACCAGCCCCTTTTTCTACCACACAATATAATGAGAAATGAAGGAGGGTCGTTAGGTTTGGCTATAAGTTCAGTCCTAGAGATGACAGAGAAGTGACAGACAGGTGAGGACAACCTCTGTTGGAAAAATATGAGATCGCTTTCCAGGTTAAGTGCAATCTTTTGAAAGCCCCCTGCAGCATGGATTCTGGGAAAGTTTCTTAGGATGTATTTCATCTATGCCAACCTTTCCTCTTTGGGTAATGACTTATAGAGTCTGAATTATCTCCAATAGAAGCTGATCTTATAAACATTCATCCATCCAATTGAGAAAGAATATTTGGTGTTCCTGGTATCTTCTAGCCTTCAGAGCCTACAGATGGGATCACTACTACAGCAGTTGAACACATTCCACACTCATGAAATATCCATTTATTTATGAAAATATGTTTAGCTTCAACAGGAAACAGAATCAACACTGTTCACTTTTTTTACACAAACATTGCTATGCTGTAGGGGTAAGGAAGTTCTCCAACAATATTTACAGAAATTGACAAGACCAGAAAAGAGAGAGAGCACACCACAAAAGCCAGTTGGACATCACACTGGGGGTATATTTAAAAGGATCACATATACTTCAATTCTTTGAGATTTGTGATTTCAACTATTTTAGTAGTCCCCTTACTCATACAGATTATAACTCCCTAAGCTTTAGTACATGGTCTTTGTGAGCTGCTGTGACTGAAAAAAAAAATCACCTTGTGCCCACCTCAGTAGAATGTTGATAAGCATACCAGGCTAATTTTCAAATGACAGGCACAGAATCCATTCTAGGTTTCTTCTCGAAGGCTTTCCCTGTTGGTGGCACATACATGGGCACTGCCTTCCAGAACTCAGGATTAGCTCTGAGATGCAATCAAGCATCTGAGGATGACTGAGCTAATCATTTGGCTCCAGTTAAATTTTGAATGTTCAGCAGCTGTGGCTGGAAGTGATCCTAATCATTCTTGCTCACAGCCTCAGACTATGAAACAGGAGGCTTCTTTGTCCTAGTCAATACAATTCAAAGCAAATTTGCTTTTCCAGACAAATCTTTAATGGGCCAGTACAGGATCCTTCTCCACCAAGGATCTGGTTTGACTTTGGAAAAAGAAATCCTTGTATACAACACATATTAAGAGATTAAAGCTTGCAAAGGTTCTCACAAAAGCCAGCTGAGCTGGAGGTTTCCAACATCAATTGTTACAGCTGAAAAAGGATCTTAAAGATCATCCAGTCAAACACTCTAGTTTTAGAGATGAGGAAGCCAAGTTCTGGAGAGGTGGTGGATTTCACAAGGTCACACCGGTAAAGCTGGGCATCAAACCCAGATCTCCTAATTGCTTGTTCAGGACTCTTTCAATTATACTTTCTTGCTTTCATCCTTTGGATGGCCAAGGCTACAGCTCCTATAGATTGTTGCTGGAGCTCAGAAGCTGCTTTCCCAAATTCTGACACATGAGAGGAATCAAATGTTTTCAAGTTCTACCGTCACAACACAAGGCAGGCCGCTGAGCTAAGCCAGTCTTATTTTATGTTTGGCATTTTGGCTGAAATCAGCTTTAAAAAGACCATCTGCACACTAGGAACTAATCACTTTATCAAAGACTGAGGCAGTGGTATTAAACTATCTCCTGACAGTAGGGAGACCATCAGCCCTTGTACTGGAGACCTCAGGGGTAGCAGGTACAACTTATAGGTGACCTCCCTCTCATTATTCGAACTTTTAACTAGGTTTTGTGGAAGCATGCCCAGTTTAGGGGACATTGCACTTTCCAGGGGCCCATACAAATCACTTCAGCTCTGGAAATATGCCCAGCACTTGAACCCCCAGTGAAGAAAACACTCTGAGGGGTAAACACATCCTGGGGATGGCTAAGTTCAAGTGAGGTCTCTTTAGCAAGGGGATTCTTAATCTGTCTTTTAATCTTTGACAGTCTGATGCAGTGTGTGGACCATTTCTCAGAATAATGTTTCCAAATGCATAAAATATATCAGTTTGTAAAGGAAACCAATGGTTATGGGAAATAAAGATGCAATTTCCCCCCTGATATCAGGTTCATGGACCCCCTGAAATATACCCATGATACCAAGGAGTCATCAGAAGCCAGGTTAAGAACCCTACCTTACTTAAACCTATTTTACAGCAGCTCCCTTGTCTGAAGAGCAGTCCTGATTTGTTTAGAGCAAATCCCTGGCAAAGGCCATTGCATCCCTGGAATTTGTGAGGGTCTTGGGCCCAAAACAAGCTTTGCAGAGAAGCTACAACTACTTAAGGTTGTCTAGAAATCGCCAACTTCTTTTTTCTCTCTAGGAGTACTTCCATAAAGCCTGCCTTAGCAAATCTGACATGACTGTGCTTTGTTTGTGTTAAGCCACAGGAATCCTCTGAACCCAGTTCCAAGACATTGGGAGAACCCAGTTAAGCCACAGAAGTGAGAAGAGTTAAAGTGTATCATGAGTAAATGCTCTACCATTCAGGTATTTTTGCCAGGATGGTGGAACACTGCCTTCACCATTCAGGCAAATGCAAGAGGAGGCATTTTGCTGAAACATTTAAAGAGAAGCAAGGGCAGTAACCATTGCCAGGAGATGTAAGCCTGGCCACAACTGTATCTCCTTTGGACAGAATTAGTTTAGCAGAAGAGTGAGAAGCTGACCTACATAAACCTTTGGCTCATGGAGAAGGACACAGTTGCATTGTGTGGGTAGGCTGTGGATTTTTCCTTTGCCAGGGTATTCTCTGCTGACGTGTGACTCCACTGGGAAGATAGCTATGTGGGGAGGG